ACTTGCTCTTGCTCTTGCTTGTTATTCTTTTAACGTTTGTTATTCTTTCACAACCACCTATGCCTTCACAACCACCTATGCCTTCACAACCACCTATGCCTTCACAACCACCTATGCCTTCACAACCCCCTATGCCTTCACAACCACCTATGCCTTCACAACCGCCTATGCCTTCACAACCACCTATGCCTTCACAACCACCTATGCCTTCACAACCACCTATGCCTTCACAACCACCTATGCCTTCACAACCACCTATGCCTTCACAACCACCTATGCCTTCACAAGTGGATTATCCATAGTTGGTTGCAAAAAATATCCATTCAGCTGTAATCTCGAAATCTTCCTTATGATAGCATAGATTTATAAAGTTTTTATGGTTTTTATAATAAGCAGAACATCCATTAGAAAAATAATTAATTTTATTGATATCAACTAAATATTCTTTAATGTACTCTAGAATTTTCTTTTGAAATTCATACACAAATCATGTATCATGATCATTGTCATCACTTAAAAAACAGAATGACTTATGCTGAATATTTGTTTCAGAAAGTTCTTTAAAATATACAACAGTGGGATGAAGTGTACATTGTTGTTTATTCCAATGATAACTTCGTATTTCATCCTGTATAACAAATTGATAGTTCCCTGCAAAATCTGCCTGTATAATACATTCATTGTAACCTAAATTATTTTTTAGCTCTTTTAAATAGTGAGTTTAGCATTTAGCAATAAATGAATGTGAAGTTAGATGATTAATGTGAGAAACAACTAGTTCATATATTCAAATAAGTTAACTGATTGAGTAATTAATTGTGATCTATCAGTACTTTGCCATCGATTAAATTGAATTTCTTCTTCTTCATCAATCTTAATTAGTTCCTCATCTAAAAATGCCCCTAAGTTATGATAACCTGAACATTTGGCACATCTATGAACCATGCATTCATTATTGCTTGTATCACATACTAATTTTGACATTAAATCTTTGTATGTAACATTCCATTGGACAGCATTTACAAACAATATTGAGTTTTGATCGTGAATACAAATACATACACAGTGTGTACTGTTTGGTCCCACACTAATACACCATTTTGGATGCAAACTACAAAACTTTGAAAATCCTATTTTAAAGTTAGCCTATTCCAAGCCTTCCCAGAAAAGGCGTGCAGTTTTCTTTCTCGTACGACCACGAAAACGTTTTTCAAGTTAGAGAACGTGACCACGTCCGTTTGCGCAAGTTATATGCGTTACTGAAAATTGTTTTAAATTTAATAACTGCGTAAGAAATTAAAGTAAACTTAAATAGAAAACAATAATAATAGTTTAAATAATTTGTTTCTTGTTTTTATTTTTGTTTTTTCTTAGTAGTTATTATTATTGGCAACAAAAATCATTAAGTCAAAGCAAAAAAAAAAAAAAAACGGTTTTAGGCGTTAAAAAGGATGACTTTCCCATATTTTATTTGTTTTTTCTTTTAAAGAGGAAAGAGAAAATATGTATCGTCATCTGTTTGTAATATATATTTGTATAATTATAATGTAACAAGTTTATATCAAGAGTTAAATTATACGATCGCGTTTGCAAATTCTGGTAAAATATTAGGTCTTTAAAATTTTAGTTCATGCAAAGCTGTGTACTTTGTTTATAAGGAGCAAATTATTAAAAGTTTGCTAGCAAGAAAGTTACAAAAAACAAAACTAAAACAATAAACTTACGACTACAAAAGTAATAACACTTTAGTCACTAACTGCATTATAAAAGTAATAAAACTATAATAGTGTTATTACATTTATATAGCACTTGTTACTTTTAAAGTTCATTCTTTGTTCAAACAACATTATTAATTCCAAACATTTATTAAAGTAGAAAAGCATCTAGAAAAAATAAAGCGGATATTCAAATATTATAAAAAATTTCAGGAACTTTCACATATCACTCAAACAACGTTATAAAAAAGTACTTTATTAAAAGTATAGCATTATGAAAAACTTTATGTAAAAACGCGCGTTAATTTTAAAATCAACCAATAAAAAATTTTTATTGGGTAATTTTAAAATTAACGCGCGTTTTTACGGTCTCTTAGTAACGTTTTTCATAATGCTAAACTTTTAATACGACACATTTTCATAAAGTTGTTTGTCACGATTTTATAACTTACTTTAGTCTTAATATTATTTGAACATCCACTTTATTCTTCTAGATATTTTTCTACTTCAATTAAAATTTGGGAATACTAATGTTGCTTGAACAAAGAATGGATTTTAAAAGTTATAAGTGCGTTATAAAAGTAATAACACCATTATAGTGTTATTACTGTAATGCAGTTAATGACTAGAATGTTCTTACTTTTGTAATCGTAAGTTTATTGTTTTATTTTTTCGCTAACAAATTTAAGTTGATTCTCCCCTTATAAACAAGGAACACGGTCTTGTATAAACTAAAATTTTTAATGCTAGATATTTTTCCAGATTTTGCGTTTTGCACTCGCTTAATTCAATCTTTGTTGCTACATTAAAATTATAAAAATAAACTTTACAAACACATTGCAATTTTTATTTTTACTATCCTCTTAAAAAGAAATAAAGAAAAGGAAAATCTTTCTTTTTATTTGTAGACTTCAAACTATTTTTTTTTTTGCTTCGCCTTATTATTCGCCTTATTATAATTTTTGTTGCTGAATGTAACTCTAAAGAAACAAAAATAAAAACAGTACATAAATTATTTAAATTATTAATTTGTTTTTATTTTTTTTTATTTCAAACTCTTTTTATTTTGTTAGTTTTTTTTTGTTTGTTTTTGAAACTTTTTCAGCATTATTATAAAACTTGCAAATGGCTGTGTTCACGTTTTCTAAAATAGTGTAATTGCGTGTGGTCATATGAGAAAAAAAACCGCACGCCTTTCCTGGGAAGGCTTGCTATTCTCTTATCAGAGACTCCAATTGATATTAAGGGCGAGACTTGATTTGATATTAAAGAGTTGTCTAACTGTTGTTTATTACAAGATTTACCTTTAACAAATGATACATCACTATCAATTTCACATTCCATTTCATTATCAGAAACTTCATCAAAATTTGACAAAAACTGAATACATAAGCGACAAATTTTAAGAGATATGTTTGTTTGACCTAAAATAAAATCATTAATTTTTAATAAACATTATACTCTGCTTCTAAATTTATATATATATATATATATATATATATATATATATATATATATATATATATATATATATATATATATATATATATATATACATATATATATATATATATATATATATATATATATATATATATATATATATATATATATATATATATATATATATATATATATATATATATATATATATATATAACCTTTAACCTTCTTTTTGTGTCATTTTAAAACATCGCAACACTTATCATACTTTAGTAGAAATATCAGTCCTAAAACCTGCTCATGATGATATCAAATAGAATTTATCTCTTCGTATGATGTAGTCTCATGCAAGCCAGACCTCCAAATATAAATATCTTGAAAATCTTTTTCTAGATTACAAAAATCTTTTAATCCTTGTTTTCGAATAAAACATATTTTGTGACATTCATCATTTAAAACTTTTCCAAATCCACAAGATTCCATTTTATCAATATAAAATGGAAAGATGCAAGAAAAATATATAAATCATTCAATGTGTTTATATTTTTCTTGCATCTTAAAAAGATGCAAGAAAAATATATAAATCATTCAATGTGTTTATGGGGTTATGGTTGTTCAGGATTAGAAATTTTAACTTAATTAGTGAGCACTCTAACTTAATTTTACAACGCTATAAACATTTCTATATTGTAAAAATTTTAAAAAAACAAAAACAGCTAGTCAACAACAACTAAAAGAACAGTTTGATGTAGCCAAAACTGTTTCAGTTACAAAACTGTCAAATTACCACTTTTTTTTTTCTTGTTTAATTTATCAAAGCACCTGTTTTCTAAGCAATAAATTTAAGTAGAGTTGACCATGTTTTTATTTCTGTTTTAGAAAAGACCACTCTCCAATTCTTTGTAATAACTATAAATTAACTTTTAAGGACAACTTCTTTTAAAAAAAAAAAAAAAATCTAGCTACATTAGCATTTTTGTGATTGGACTCGCCCCAGTAAAATTGTGGTAAACATTTAAATTTTAGGTGTTATGTTTGTTTTTAAATATTTTAAGTTGTTTGATTGGATTTGTTGGCCCAAATGTTTAAAGGTACAAATTTTTAGCTTTCCAACACTAACACAATATATATATATATATATATATATATATATATATATATATATATATATATATATATATATATATATATATATATTGTGGCCAATACTGCATATATATATATACATATATATATATATATATATATATATATATATATATATATATATATATATATATATATATATATATATATATATATATATATATATATATATAAAAGCAAGCATACATAAGCTTCAAAATATCTGATTTATTGTAGGAATAAAAAAAATATTTTGTCAATTAAAAGCAAAAGTTAGACAATAAAATATAACATATTAAGCCTATTAAAAGTTGCTATAAAAAGGTTAATTACTTACCAATTTTAGACAGATAATATATAATTTTTCTTTAAGGGAAATAGAACAAATATGCTAACTTAAATTTATCTTATCTGTCACATGATTTACAAAAAAATTTCATGTGGTCTGTTCTCACTTGGCTTTATACTATAGAAGGGATACTATTTTTAATTTTGTACAGAAAAAAGTTAACTTAATGTTTATAATGTATTATAAATATAAAGTTAGCTTCATAAATAAAGGCTTCTCTAAATTTTTAAAAAATTTCATTTTTTTTTTTTTTCCAATAGTGTTATGGTCATTTCTAAAAAATTATTCCAGTTATGTATCTTCAAAATTATCTATTTGACAAATCTTTTTTTTATGGATTGATGGATGATAAAAAAATGATTTTTTAGGTTGATGTTGGGAACAATGTTAACCATTTCATTCGAAATATTGTTTCTTTTAAAGTTCAAATGTTAAATAATGTGTAAGTATTATTGTTTTTAAATTTGTTATTGTTGGTAATTTATGAATTCAATACTCATTGCATGACTAAGAATATTTTTCAAAGACTTCAGCAAATGCATGTTTTCTTTTTTTTTAAATGATTTAATTTTTAAGAGACCTTCTCTTCTTTTTAAGAGACCTTCTCTTTTTTTTAAGAGACCTTCTCTTCTTTTACTTCAACTGTGAATTAAGTAAGTCACTAAATAAAAATTAGGAGAGACAAAAACAAATTTTTTTTTTTCTCAATCAAGATTTTATGTAAAGTGCATGACATAATAAGACATCCTCTCTGGCCCTCCTATTGCTAAGCGAGATCCTTAAACTTCCAAATAGTTTCTTTATAATTATGAGACACTGCTTATTAATAAAAAAAGATATATTGAGATTTTTGTTGGCAACATTCCTAAAAGACTGTCTGAAAGTCACCTCTTTTTATAATTAAAGTAAAAGCTTGTTTTAACCAAGTGGCGAAGTACAGACAAGTCATGTTGAATCGGATTAAGATCGTCAATTAAGTACAACATTGAGTTTAGCTGGAAAGTTGATCGAAAGTGACTCTTTTTTACAAAATGTACAACACATAAAACGATAGGTTGTTCTGTTCTCTAGAAAAAGCTTGTCAAGGAGGTCATCAACTGTAAAAATTGGTTGCTGGATTGTTTCTACAAATAAAAAATTTTTTTCTCAAAAAAGCAACTTTTAATAGTCATAATGCTGCCACAATCCAAGCATAGTCTTTTCTTTTAAATGTTTAGAACAACACTTCTAATATCCCATTCGAAAAAAATGTCCTTTATTAGTCCTTCTGAGTAGTTTTACAGTTTTTGCATTCAGTCATGCAGGCTTGGTCGAGAAGCGGAAGCGATCGCTCTCGAATACTGACCACGCAAATTATATTTAGTTGCGTAAAACTGACCAGGTTTTTTAGTCGTTTTGATAACATTTAAGTTTATTTATGAAACAAAGAATTTTTGTTTTACGGACATACATGGAAACATAAAAAACTTGAATGTTCTCAAAACATCTTTGTGCGAAAGAATAAATAGAATATTTGCGAACACTAAAAACCCGCCAAATTAATGAACAAACTAATTCTATTGGTTTAAAAAATACGCTGATTAAGCGAAATAAAGTTCTAAAGTATTCTGTTAAAATGTTTTGGAAATTGTATTATACACGATTTGTTACGTTTTGAGATTTCTAGAATTGTTTTAAGAATATATATTATTTGTTTACAAAAATAAATGTTTTAAGTTTATATTAATTAAATTGTTAAAATTTTAAAAGTTTATTATAAATTATAGATTTTATAAGTATATTCTCATTTTTTATTTAAAAAGTATGTAATCTTTATGTAAATGTAATTTTGTGTATCTGTTTTTTATCGTAATGTATCTTTTAAAGCAATGATTATGATTTAAATAAAGACTTACAAAAATAATTGCGTTTTCAATGAAGTTATAGTCGTTAAAGTTAATAAAACTAATTATGTAACAAACATATAAGAAGTTTCTAGTTACTATACACAAACAACGCATACAAAGTAACTCGCGGATGAACAAGCATCGCGCCTGAGGTCACGACAGAACACAAATATATATAGCAAATAATTAGATAAAAAAAAAAGTTTCTAGATATTGGTTTACTAACTCTAATTATTTTCGCTTAAGTTGCCATTCTTAAAACTCGTTATACTTTATTCTGCTTTAAATACTAATTAAAATTAAAAAGCCCACTCACTAAACATCATCAGCGATATTGTGAAGCAGTTTCGCTTCCTGGTCATTAAGCATTTTTAACCTTTTTAGTTGATTTCTATCTTGATAATTTAATTCCTATAGTAATTCAATGATTTAATTATTTTATTTATTTATCTTACTAAGAAGAATCGCTTCAAATATGTTAAACTTTTCAAACTACGCGAAACATTAAATAGGTATTAAAAAAATTAACTTTTTTATTTATTAAATAATTTAGCTCAAGTAAAACTAAAACTTGCAAACTTAGTTAAATAAAGAATATTTGTTTCTCTTTTAAACAATCGTAAGTTGTTACTTTATATAAAAAACATTGCTTAATTTTATAAAAAAATTATAAAAGAGCGATGTTTCGAAAATATTTGTTCTAAATGTAATTTATTTAGCTTTAAGTTTTTTTCGCGTTTAAAGATATTTTATTTGCCTATTTTTTTTTTTTTTTTTTTTTTTGTAATTGTCTCTCATCGGTCCAATTATTCTTTGTCGCTTTTTTTTTTTTGCTTTTTAAAATGTTCTCAAAATGACTAAAAAATCTGGCCAGTTTTTTGCAACTAAATATTATTTATGTGGTCAGCAATCGAGAGCAATCGCTCCCGCTTCCCGACCAAGCCTGGTCATGACTTTATAAGATTGTAAATCAGCTAAATACTTAATGAAAAACTCATATTTAGAATTATATCATATATTGAATATTTTAAATGATTACTTTGTAAAAGGTTCATCAAGTTTGATGGGAGTTAAACTTATATCCAAAGAGATAAAATAAAAATAATCTATTGTACAAGTGTTATTAATAATGAGAGTTGTTAAATTAGACTTTATTGTACGTTTAGATTTGAGTACAACCATTTTTGGTTTTGGTTTTTATTAAGTGATTAAAAAGTTTTGAACTTTGGTGATGACAGTATTTGTAAGGAATCATCTAAAAAAGTTTTCTCCTTGTCAGAGTTTTGAACTTTATCTATTTCTGATTCACTTGACCAAGCTTTACTTTGTGATCTTTTGCCATTTATTTTATTTTTAATTTTCTTTTCCCATACTTGTTCATCATCTTCATTTTCATAGTCACTTGTCTCCAATACAGCTAACTTTAAAAAAACAGACAACATCAAACCAACTGCACTTTTGAGTTCTTTGATTTTTTTTTTCAACACTTGAAAGAAATAAAATAGCGTTTGCGATGTGACTACAGCAACCGACAGTACGCATTCCTGTATCTTTCTTTGTTAAGATGCTGCCATATATAACTCAAGCTTTGTCTAAGCTGATAGAAACCTATAGTTATATAAGTTTGTATTGTGCTTTGATCAAGTACTGGAAAATCTTTAATATCTTGGGATTCTAATTTAGTATAGACACTATTATGGTAAAGCTTCTTTCTTCAACTAATGTTTTAAGTAAGTTCTTTTTGTGAAGGCTCTCTTTCATAATTCTAATGATTTCTACTTTGTTGTCATTATTGGAGAGTAACCTACCAAAATAGTGACAGCGATCCGGTAATCATCTAGGGTATGAGGCTTATGTTGCAAACCTTATCCAAGTCTCAAAACGATTGCTTAAGAAAACTATTGATAACTTCAATAACCCATCGAGTTTTTGTAATAAAGTGTGGTTGATTCACTCCTAAAGTTGTTAACTCTTTCTGGTCTTTTCTAAGACAAGCTGGCATTTTTGAATCAAGTTTATAATCTTTCTTAAGCTCTTCAATACAATCACAGAATCAGCGATTCAATATAATGGCGTCATTTGGTCAAATTAAAGAACATAAACTTTGGTCCTTGATTAAAGCTTTGCCTAATATAGTTGCATAATTTTTTTTGCTTCGAAAAGGTCATAAACATTTAAGATTTATCCGTTAGAAGAACATATCACAAATGGCTTTACCAAGTGTTTCTTTTTTTGGACACTGTATGTTTTATGCTGAAAAACATTATTGCTACTCTTTTGACAATAGCAGTAAGTTCCATCTGCTAATAATATCAATTGATCATCACTGGTTTGAAAAATCTCTTTAACAATAAGACTATTGTTTTTTAGTGATTCCTTTCTTTGGATGTGGTTCACATTTAGATTATTTGGAACAAAATCAATGGTAAGTGACTCTCTGACTTGTTGAAGTAACCGACTTTAAAATTAAATTAAAAAACATTGTTAAATGATCCTACCCAGTTTTGAGCCAGAATAGAATTGCTAAAGCCTGGGGTATAGAGCACTGGATTGAATTTCTCCTTGAATCAAGTGATTTGCTTATTTCAATAAATTGTTCTTTTGTAAATCTAGTTATTCTGAAACATTTATACTCGATCAAAGTTGTTTTATCCATGAAATGGTAAAAAAGTGAGTTTTGAAGTACAGAATTAAGCATTGTTTTGAAAAGATTTTTAACCTCTTTTTTTTGAGTTTTATATTAGCTTTACCAATTAATATCATCTCCATAGTTTGTTTGATTAATAGATTTGACAATTGACAAAAATGAATGCTGCAACATCTCGAACCATGTGGAATCAATAATTTTTTTTCTATATAGACGTCAAAATCGCTTCATTAGAAATGTTTCTCAACTTTTTGTATAAGTTTTTCTTTCCACAAACAATATTGATTCATCATCAGGATTGCATTTTTTGTCAGTTGTTTCTTATAAAAAAATTTGTGAATTTGAAACTCTATTAGTTGAACCGGTATTAGTTGAATTATCATTTATAGATTCTTCATTATTATTTTTTGATTTTTTTCTATTTCGTTGTGAAACGATTTGCACTTCTTATAGATTTTATTTTTCTTAATCAAATCCAATTCTTTCTTACAAATTTCATTTAAACTATCAATGTTTTCTTCAGAACTTCACTAAACTGTTTTAGTTCTAAACAAACATTACAACAACTAAAAAATAAATATTCAGCACATTTTTTTTACTATTTAACGTTAAGCAATCAAAAATTAAATACATATTAAATATTTTAAACTATTAAGGGTTCCAAGTTATGAGATCATGTTTTTAAAAAGTTACAAACACAGTTCGTCGCGTTGGTTTGATGTTGGTTTCAACTGGAATTTTTTATATTAGGAGAATTTTAAAAAAATCTTGTAATTTTTTTTTCATGTTCATTTAAAATTATTTATACTACTGTTTTTTTATTTATTTGTATATTCTTTTTTTGTTTAGTGTATAAATTAACATAAATAAATAAAGAATAATCATAAAAATATTTTTATTTAGACTTTAAAAAAAAGAAAAAAAGATTTATTTGCTATTTTTCTAATATATTAAAAATCAGTTTGAACCTTGTAAGGTTCAATTTAATGGTCGGACATCGGACATTGTCCGGCTAAAACCTCAAATTGTCCAATCAATTTTCAAAGTAATTGGACATTTTGACCGAAGGGAAATAACTTCTTCAAAATAAATAAAGATATACTTCAGTATATACATAAAAGTTAAAATTAAAAGTAAAGTAAATTAAAAATAAATGAAAAGCTTTAAAATCAAACTCAAAAAACTCAAAGTTAAAATTACTTTTTGTTACATTTTTAATTGCGTTTGAAATGAATTACTTTAAAACTTATGTTTTAAAACGGTTTATTAAAGTTACGCAAAACGCTTTTACAAATTACTTCTATTGATTGTTTAATAAATAAATAAATTTGAAATTATTGAAAAGTGAAATTAAAATATTGAAAAGAAAAAAATATAATATTTTTAAGTTGTTTAAACATTTTTTTCAAAAAGTTGCAAAAATAATAATTACAAAAACAATGTTGTCTTTTTAAAATTGTAATTTTTAACCATTTTATTCTTTGATTAAAAGTCAAATTAAAAAAAAACAACAACTTTTAAACAATTCTTTATAAAATTATAATAAAAAAAAAAAAAATCTTGGGAAGATTCATAATTTAAAGTAACTTGAAGCTAATCTTTTAATAAAAGATTTTTAGAGAGACTTTTTATGATAAATTTAAATATTTGACACTATTTTAAAAATAGTTTCAAACATTAAAATTATTATAAAAATACTAAAAACAAATAAAATATAACATTTAATTTACTTTAAATTATAATTTTTTATTTTATTTAAAGTTTTTAAAAGTTTTGATTTTAATGTTTTTTAAAGCTTTTAAAGATTTGATTTTACACTTTCGCGTGAAATAAAAACTTTAAAAAAGATCGATTAAAAGTTATTTGTAACTTAACGATTTTTTTAATTACATTTAAATAGTTAAAACATCAAAAAAGCTGATGTCAAGTTGTAAAGAATAAAAAAAAAAGCGTTGTCAGTTACAACATGCAAGTTCAAGTCAATTTAAAAAATTATGCAATATTAAATTGGAACTATTTTATTAAAAAAAAAGCAAAAATTTGCAATAAAAAATTTAAAATAACGTTAAATAAACTTAATAAAATGAAAAAAAAAATTTCAATTGCATAACTTGGTTCCGCAAAAGCGATTTTCTGGGGGCAAATTTACATGCTTATTGCATCATGCTCTTCGGTTTCCCTGTTATGATCAATACTTTTTCTTTTTTATATTCTACCAAATACATTATATAATTTAGATTTACCTAATACATTATATTTAAAAAAAGATTTGACAAAAGATTGACAATGATATTAAAATATAGATAGAATTAAGATTATATTTCTTGAAAAACCAAACAAATCTGACTATGTTTTAATAAAACTAATACATAAATAGTGACAGTTCAAAAAGCAAATGTAAATGAACTCAGTTTTAATATGTTGCTTTAATAAAAAGTGGTGTTTTTTATAATTGGCTCTATTACTTCTCACTAACAACTTTTTATATAGAAATGGCATATTATTTTTACCTATAATTTCATTATCAGATGTTAAAAAGAAAATATAATAATAAATTGAATAATTAAAATGAAAAAAGTTTATAAAATTTGTTATACAAATTTTTAGTTTAGGTAGAATAAAAACATGTTTCAACAAGTTTGAAGAGTTTATAACTACTTTCTCATTTTATAAAATATTTTTTTTAAAGTTTGCTCATCAAAAGTCCTGAATACGCAATGAGCTTAAATTTACATAATAGTTTGTGATAATAATGACAATGAGGATGACGCAATAATGGCAATGATGATTGTGGCGACAAAGGTGATGATAGTGGTTAAAATGGTGATGGTGCAATCCGACGCCACAATGGTAATGTATCCATCACCATTGTATCCATCACTTTATTGTAAAACTTATAATTTTATGCTAATTTTTAATTTTTATTATCTTTAAGAGACCTGGTTGACATTTGTGAAATGGAAATTACTGGATTGGCATTTTTATGGCACCAAGTAAGGTGCATGGTAGCTGTTTTACTTTTGATTGGGTTAGGTGTTGAAAAGCCTGAGGTTAGTTTGCTTTTTACTATAAAGTTTTTTTATCACAATAAAATATAATATAAAATATTTTATTTTGAATCAAGTTGATTCAAATGTTGTTTACAGTCAAGTTTAAATTGATTCAAATGTTGTTAGAGTCTTATTTAAAGTTTGAAGTGAGTTTAAGTCTTATTTAAAGTTTGAAGTGAATTTTGAGTTAATACTTTATGTTAGTTACATGGATTTAAAATTAAGGATACACATAATAATAATAATAATAATAGCAATAATAATAATAGTGATAATAATAATAATGATAATAATAATAATAATAGCAATAATAACAATAATAATAATGGCAATAATGACAACAATAATAATATTAATAATAATAATAATAATAATAATAATAATAATAATAACAATAAAATCAATCATGGTATTTTCCTCAATCACAATTCTCAGATATATGAATACTACTTGTATCTTCTACCTATTTAAGTCAGTCAATGTATGTACACTCTTCCAGTGTTTACTTATTTAAATCAGTTAATGTTGATGCTTTTTTTTTATTAGAATTCAGTATATAAACCTAGGCAAATTATATAAATATTTCCAAATTTAAATTTTGCAAAGCTCATATTCTGAAATTTTGCACTTTTCTTGATACTTTTAAAAATCTACAAATCTTTCATTCTGTAATGTTTCTATTATAGTGATTTTTGCTGGTCATATCTTTCATTCTGTGATGTTTCTATTATTGTGATTCTTGCTGGTCATACAAAAAGTTTGTATCTCCCCAACCTTCAGAATTAGCAAAAATGAGGTCAGCAGTAATTTGCCGACCTCAATCTTTTAGGCATCAGGTAGGCAAAATAAAAATGAAACAAAGGTCTTACCATAAAATATAGAAACGAAGTTAGCAATTTTTTGTAGACCTCAAACATTGGCAGTTAAGTTGGTATTGTCGAATGCTGACCCTAATTCTGAGGGCTGTCTCTCTGAGTTTTGATAATTTTTTTATAATTGGCGTAGGCTAAATCCAATAGTTTATTTAGTTTTTCAAATTAATTTTCAACTTTTTATATTTTTTTTCTAGCTCTGACATGGAAGTTTTTAATTTATTAGTATATATTCAAAAGAAACTTGTTATAGCAAAAAAAAAAAGTTTGATCATATGGTTTAACATTTTTTGTAGCAAACATTCAGGAGTGCATTAGAGGTTTAAACTGAAAGTCCAATATGTTAAACAATAGGTTAACATACAAACGTAGAGATTTGTATGTAATACAGTTAGGATCAATATCATAACCATGTCAATTTTACCACAATTTTGTGTGCTTTATTAATATTTTCGGAAAATATTGAAATTACACCCAACTAAAAAAAGTTAAAATAAAAAAATAAAATTTTAAAAAAGGTTTTGTATAATTTTGATTTCCACATCTTTAAGTTTCATGCTATTGCAATCATCAGGTGAAATACAAATATAGTTTTTTTTTTGTTAAAAAATTAAATACCATTGAAACTTGTTACATAAAACTATACAGAAAAAATTATACAGAAAAACTATTGTTACAAGTGCGTGTATCTAATCTTCAGGTTTGTGGTTGCTTAATAGAAATTTATTTTTGTGATGACATTTGAAAATCAACTTTGTTTTTTTATTTAGTAACTCCTAAGCATTTTTATAAAATAAAATTATTAGTTTTTTATATGAACAAAGTAAACAATTTTTTTGTTGTTGTAGTAAGCAGGGACTCTTTTTTGGATAGACCAAGTTAATTTAGGCGTTTCTTTGAGTTTTTTTCTAGTTTTTTGTATATACATTTTAAGAGAGTGGTTGCATTTGAAAGTTTTTTATTTTTAAATAAAAAACTTTTAAATATTGCTTATGGTTCGCATATCTCTTTTTCCACATGATTATTAATAAATTAATGTATGATTTACTGAGTGTATTTGGGGAAGATGTTATACATTTGTAAATCAGTTAAAGTAATAAAGTATGCTTTTAAGTTGATTTCATCTCAATGTAATACTACAAACAGAAATCCAGTACCTCAAAAAATTATTTTACATGAACAACCGCAAAAAATGTGTCTTAAAAATGTAAATTTGTGCAGATTTCTGGTTTCTTCATTTGTGTATATTTCTGGTTTCTTCATTTGTGTATATTTCTGGTTTCTTCTAATTTTGTATTAAATAATTAAGTACTGTATTTAGAACAACATTGGAAGTGACAACAAATGCGAGAAGTAATAACTATGATATTATTTATGCATTTAAAATAAATTCTTTATTTTTGACATCTTTATATTTACAAATTATGAACTTATTATTATGAATTTATTCATAATACGTTTATAATTTAAGTTTTTAATACTTAAGTATACTTTAAAAGATATGCCAAATAAATCAGAAAATTGCAAACAAAGCATTAAAATTGTGTACACCATGTGGGAAAAAAATAACAAATTAAAATGTGTATAAATTCAGGTTTATCATATTAAACAGCAAATATTCTCTTACCTGCAGAATAACATGAGCTAAAGGTCAAAAATGATAAATAATGTGGTACCTGCAGAATAACATGAGCTAAAGGTCAAAAATGATAAATAATGTGGTACCTGCAGAATAACATGAGCTAAAGGTCAAAAATTAGTGAGAGTGGAAAATTCAAAAAGTTGGAAAAACTTTCTAACAAAAAATGATCTTTGTATTCTGAAGGGGCTAGCAAGCAAAGCTACAGCTGTAGCTACAGCTAGCAAAAAAGCTACAGCTAGCAAAAAAGAAAAGTTAACAGGTGTTCATAGATTGATAATGGTTTGTATAGTACCTCAAGTTAAAGAATCTTATGAAAAAATGAAACTGTTATGTAACCTATTAAATAAAGATAGAATTTTTTTTTTGTACCTGATTTTAAATAAATCTTCATAGTAAATGGTCTGCAAACAGACACTTCAACAAATTCCTGACAGATTTCAACTTCAAACAGCTACTTCAACAAATGTCTATATTGAGATGTTAAATTACAATTACTCCAAGGAATAAACACATAGGAGGAAGAAAATATGTGTAAACTGCAATTTAGGTATTTCTACTAACAATAGATATGCAGGTTTGCAAACATATGGTGATCTGAAAAAATGCTACAATAAGTAAAATTAAACAACATGTTTTAAATAATTTTCTATTATCACGTCTTTAATAATAAACAGTTTAGTATATTCTTTATTAGGTTCCAGCTATTAAGTGAAATAAAAAAATAAAGAGATGTCCCAAACACCATAACCACAGTGAACCTTCCCTTTTTTAACAAACCATATTGTTTGTTAGTTTTAGCTATATGCCCTTATCCTAAAGTACATTTAATATAAAAATTTGTCAATCATGTTTTCTGGAAGGGAATTTTGCGACATTTAAGCGGGAAAAAAGCCATGCTATGGTTGTTAAAATTAAAACTTAGAATTTAAATAAAACATTTTTTAAACTGTTTTTTCTGATTAACATTAAAGTTAGTTAACTTGTACTTTGTCTAGGGTGAGGTTTTTGAAAGAAATGCATGTCTAAAAACTACTTCAACATGTAGATAAACCTCTTGAAACTGATTTCCTTGGTAAAGTCATGACACCAAAACTTAAATGACCTCGCCCAAAGAATATATTTAATTTATATAAAAAAAAGCAGCAGCTCTTGATAGAACAAGAATTAGCATTCAAAATACATTCTAAGTTTTGACTTCGCCTTAAGTTGCAGTCATACTCCAAATAATCTAGCATTGAATTGGTGGTCATTTTGGCATTGCAAAAAAAAACAACACATGGATGGCGCAATAGCAAAATTAAAGGACAATTTTGGTGATAAGATTCGCGATGCTCCATTTGTAGCAGATTGGGATAGAAAATTAGTGTCAGACATTTCTAGAAACTATAAAAGAACAACTCTGGAATGTGAAAAATGATGAATAACTGTAGAATTTACTATCATGTTTGTAGAAAGTGATTCAGCTTTGGGATGACTACAGAGAACTCCTTGAATTGTTGCTTCAGACAATCACTCCTTGAATCTATATGGGATATTTCCTACCTCAAGGTACAGTGGGCCAGAGTTTAGCAAAATGGTCAAAATGAAGTTTAGTAATTCATTAAACTATAAAATAATTGATTTAAAAAAAAAAGTTATTTCAAGGGTTTACCATGATTTATCTTTTAAAACTTTTTTTTTTTTTTTTTTTTCATTTTTTTTACACCATTATTTTATGTCTAATAACAAGTTATTATTTTATGTCTAATAACAGGTCTATATACGACAAAAAAGTAAAGAAAATATTATGCTACAATTATTTATGTTTTATATGGAATGACTTCTTTTTTAAAAAGTTTTTTTATGTCAATATCTTTAATTCTCATACAAAAAAATTTGAGTTATCCAAAGAAGTTTGCTGAAAAGCCACAATATCTTTAATTCTCATACAAAAAAATTTGAGTTATCCAAAGAAGTTTGCTGAAAGGCGACGATGGTTTGAGTTAACGAAGTTCTAGTTATCGGACTTAACCAAAGAATTTTAATAATAATTGATTAGACAATTTCATAGGACCAAATGTTCAGGATAATAAAAGTTCGAGATATGTTCGACTTACCTTACTTATGTTCGAGTTAATTGTATACATATTTAAGTATTTAGTATTTACACTTTACAATAAAAAATATATATTATTGATTAAGTACTAACTTGTGAGAATAAAATAGGTATTGATGCAAGATTATGAAGAACAAAATAAGTTTATAAAATGTGGTTGTGTGCTAAACAAAATAAAATTCATTTAAAAATTCATTAGGAAGTTTTAAGTAAGTATAAACATAAAGATTTTATTTAAGAATAAAAAAATACTAAAAAAGTGAACATGTTAACTACATTGTCAAATGTGTCATGCAAACTACATGCAAGCTAAACAGTATAGTAAATGAGACATTTGACGATGCTCACTATATTGTCAAATGTCTATTTGTAGTGTACATAGATCAGCAATTGCTCACTTTTTATGCTTACTTTATTCCATACGACTTTTTCAAAAAAATAATAAAATAATAAAGAATAATGAAAAAAAAAAGATTGTTGTCCAGCCCAAATCCTTAGTTGATGAGTGGCACTTCATTGCATATTCTACCTATTGGTGAGTCTATGTATGTACTACTGAAGCCCAGGACTACAGACTATTTCAGTATGAAATCAGACTGCTCACTTAAGCGCTTATTATAAATTATACAATTATATATACAGTGGTGTAATGTAAAAAGTAATAAAAGGTTTTTTCCCAGTTACCCAAAGGGCAACTTAAATATTGTTTATGTCTTGATTCGTCCACTATGATTATCAATAGTCCGGTATTTTTATTTTTTTCTTAACAATCACAGGGATAAAAAATGACGAAAAAAAAGTTAAAATACCAAGCTATTAATTGGATAATCGATATGATTAATAGCAACAATTTGATAATCAATATGATTAATAGCAAACTGTTTAATAAAAAATATGAAACTTTTTAATGAAAAGTAAAAAAATATTTAATTATTCTCATTTGATCTTCAATCAGTTTAAACTTTTTAAAATGTCTTTAATTTAAAACAAAAAATTTTTTAGGAAAAAATTTCCATGTGCATTATTAATAATTGTTTTAACTAGTGACAATTATTTTTTATACTTAGTCATACAAAAGGTTAAAGATTGATGACTGTTTGCTCAGACTCGTAAAATATGGGTTTATTTCACCTCTATTTCTATACTTATTTAGTTATTTATCAACTATCAACCTCTATTTCTATACTTCAGTTATTTATCCACTATCAACCTCAATTTCTATACTTATTATTTACTTCAATGTTTTTTTTGTAAATGGTAGTAAAATAATTAATTTAACTATTGTTTTGTTATAACAAAAAAAAAATTAATATGTGCACTTTTTTGCATACTTGGAGCTTATTAGAACTCCTACCCTATTTATTTGTTTTGAAAGAAAAAGTCCCATATATTTATTCTAAAAAAAAAAAAAAAAAAAACATCTTTCTGTTAAATTGGTTTTACAACATGTTATATGATTTTGATATTTCTTATATTATATTATAGAGCATTTTTTGAGATTTCTACAAAAAAAAAATAGTTGTTTGATATAAAAAAATATAAAATTATTTCATTATTATGGTTATAAACTTTTTCTTCTTTTTTTCCTGATTATATTGAATATATTTTTTTTTATTTTTTACTCGTTTTTCAACCTTGTTTGTGCTGTTTTGATTGCATCATGGCAATTTTTAAAATGTTCTACTAAAGCCAATTTTTTTCCACTCATCCTCAAAGACATGTTGTTGACGCTATGCAGCAGCAACCCATAAGTTCTGGAAATATTGTAAAAATAATTTATTTAAATATAAATATATTTAAAATGGGGAAAGTTTTTGGTGGTAAACTGATGTTTTTCTATAACTTTAAACCTATAAATAAATCGTAAATAGTTAATTGTTTACACATAATTTAGATTATTGATCATTTACTAGATGTTGAAAGTTGTCCAAAGCGTCCTCAATATGAATTGGCATCAGGTATATTATTATATCGTAATTAGTACCATAAACAATAGTAAAGCAATGTATTAGTAAAGGAAAGTAAATTTGTGAAGCGTCAAAAACCATTTGCAAATATTCTTTAGAAAACCCTAATCTTCTTTTTTATCTATATATTTTTATTATGCTTATAAGCTCTGGTTCTTATTTTAAGCATTTATGATTGAGTGTTAATAAAAAGTATCAACTTTAGTGATTTTATAGAAGAATGAAACAATGCCATAGTTGAATTAATCCTTATCATCTTTTAATGTGTGATTTAAGAAGTATTTTGATTTGTCATCTGTGACATATAGCAAATAAATCATAAAAACTGATTCATTTTCTATAGTTAAATATAATTAATTGTTTGAAATTTAAAGTTGTATTAAAACAACAAAAAATTTAACAATGATTAAATATTTCTTTTAAGATTTCAAAAATTTAGAAACATAAAATTGAAGTGATATTCTTAATGCCAGAATGATATTTTATTATATATATTCTGATAATGATTGATATATATATATATATATATATTCTGATAATGATTGTTAAAATTAGTAAAAAATATAAATTACATTAGATGATTTTCCATAATGCCAATATTATGTTTGAATTTTATAACTAGGTACTTTTTCTGGCTTAGACATATTTTACAGACCAGGATATTGAGTATTTTTATCATTTTAAAAATTATGTTAAAGACTATCATCTATGATTTATAGACTCTTTTCAAGTGGTTCCAATAGACTCTTATCTTTTCAAGTGGTTCCAATAGACTCTTATCTTTTCAAGTGGTTCCAATAGACTCTTATCTTTTCAAGTGGTTCCTCTTAAGTCTTAAATGTTCAAGGCATTTGTCATGGCTAGACACTTAAATATTGTTCATTTCTTTTGTATAATAAAAGCACTTAATGATTTTAGAAAAGTTTTCGTGTTTTTTTGTCAGGTTCAAGTGGTTCTGTATGTGAAAAATATTTGACATACTCATTTTTTAATTTTTTTTTGACTTTTATTAATGAAAAGATTTTTTACCTCTAAACTTTAATCTTTCTCTTTTTTTCAATAAACCTGTTAAGCTTTTATATTAATTTAATATTATACTATTATATAATTAATATAATATTATACTAAAATATAATTAGTATAATATTATACTATAGCATTTCCAATTAGATTAACACCAAAACCAGTTTTGATTATATGTTACTTTGATGTTATTGGCGACTTTAAAGGATGATTTAAGGATCTTAAATCTTTCTGAGCTATCTTCATTTTTTATAAGTTTTAAGTGCATATTAAATCTCTCTAACTTATGATTTATATGTTTGTTATATGTGTCTTGAATTTTTTTTTTTTTTTTTTTTTTTTTTTTTGTGTGCAAAATAATAGTCTAGTTAAAATGTTTTTATTGATTTTATCAAAATTTAGAAATCCCTTTGGTACTTTATGACTGCACATATGATGATAAAATAAATTGGTGTTATGACATTGGTGAGTTTCGAATTATTCATTGTGTGTTATAAATGAATTATAAACAGAAAAATATTCACAATAAAAAGTTAGTTAAAAATAGAGGTCAATTTTTTTTTTTTTTAATTTCTCTAAATAAGTTATCTCAGGAAACCCTGAATATTTAATATTTTTAGAAAGTAACACCCAAAATGTAAACATATTACAGAAGAAGTTTACTATCTTTACGGTTCAGTAAGATTTTATGAATTCATAATTTATTTATTTTTTTAATCCTTTTGAAATGCTTTTTATGTTAATAATGAAATTTACATTTTTAAGATCAGCTATTATTGCATCTATGCTAAAAGATCTTAATGCAAATTCAAATACATCAGTAGCTGGTATTCTTCCTACATTTAAAGAAAAAGATCATAAACCTATTGATAAACGAGCTGTATGCGGTATGTATGTTTTTTTATATGATAAATTTTTATATAATAAATAGTTAGATTTATAGTGATTATGACTAGCTGAACAATAAAAAGTTGTATCGCCATACATGGTTGCCGTAGTAAAGTATGCATCCCGGCTTTTTATTACTCATTATTGATCATTAACTTGATTATTGGTTTAGTTGAGTTTTAATGACTATCAAAAAAGTTTAACATTTATATATAAACATACATAAGTTAAGAGCTTAATGTCAAGTTTTCTTGAATTAAATCAAAAACGCAAGTTTTTTGGAGGAATATATTTTTTTATGTTGAAAACTTTTTACTTATGTTATTGTAAACTTTGCACATATATTTAGAGATGTGGTTTGTTTTTGTTTTTTTGGTTGTTTTTTAGAAAGAAAAAAAATGCAGGTGTTAGTTTTTTTGAAAAATATTTAAAGAATCATTATTCATTTAACTTAATGGGCAATATTTTTAATTATTTTAATATCAGATTTAAATAAGACAATTAATTTTGAAATTTACTAAAATTCTTTTTAATTTGTTATATTTAAAGGTTAACACAGATGGACCAATCCTGTATAAAAACATCTTAGATAATTTTAACTACCTCTACTTTATCTTAACTGGTTTTATTGTTATTGACACAATAAACATTCTTTATTGACATATATTTAATTACATTTATTTAATTTAATTATATATATATATATATATATATATATATATATATATATATATATATATATATATATATATATATATATATATATATATATATATATATATTAGGGTGTCTTTAACCTCCCTTTAAATAAAAAAAAACAAAACAAATAAAACAATTTAAATTTTAGTGTGCTTGGAGTCAAATACACATTTTTAACAGCAAAAAATGTGTATTTCATCATAATTTCAATAGAATTTAATATGCTTATATAAGTTTTATACTATGGTGAGAAATAAACAAAGACCTAATTTATGACAAATCAAAAATTACAAGATTTTTAAAAAATAAACAGTTTTTTGCACTGAAAGTTTTTATTCTTATCATTAACTAATATATATATTTTCTGATTTATTTTATTTAGTTTTGAGCAGAGGCAGATCCAGCATTTTTTGGTCTTCGAGATAATTCCAGACATCGAACAAATTCCATTTATGTGTTTATACTTATGTCAAATAAGGATGCTTTGCACAAAATTACAATGATTGGAGCCTAGGAACAAAAAGCCCTAATATTTTTTTTATTTCACTTGCCTCAAACATGTGAGCAACAAGTTGATAAAATATTTTTTGTATTATTCTTAACTAGACTTATTTATCAATAAATTTCAATTTTCATAGTAAAATATTTTAGTCTTCCAAAATTATGACCATATAAAATTTAACCACCCTAAGTTTGAGGGGGTTACAAATATTTTACGATCATAATTTTTGAATTCAGAGAGATTATACTATGAAATTTAAAATTTATTGATGAATATAAGACTAGTTCAGAATAGTGTAAAAACTATTTTATCAACTTGTTGCTCTTACGTTTGGGGCAAAAATTTTGGGTTTTTTTTTTTGTTCCCAGGCTCCAACCATTGCAATTTTTTGCAAAGCATTCTCATTTGGCATAAGTATAAACATTTAAATGTTTGGAGTTTGCACCTTGTCTGGAAGTTAGATCTCAAAGACCATAATATGCTGGATCCGCCCCTGGTTTTGAGATGTTATTATTTTGTTAATAACAAGTAAAATGTAATAATAAACAAAGAGGAAGGAAGGGGTTAGTAAGCTTGTTGTGGGTGGAAAAATTTCATAAAATTATTAAACGTTTCCTCTCGTGTATTAAGCACCTAAGAGTAACTAATCCCTAATATTGTTTTAAAATAAGTTCTTTATAAATAAATTAACCTGGCACTCAAATGAAACAAAATTTTATAAAAATCAAAAAAAAAAATGTATATGCACTAGATATAAGGTGGATTTAACAACTTATTTAATATTAGTTTGATAATCCAAAGAGAAAAATTCTGCGTAACTTGGTTTACTTAATACATCAAAATTTGACTTGCCTAAACTGTTATTTTGACAAAATTCGTTAATAAACAGTTTGGGACATAATACATTAAGATTACGTTATCACAATAAAATAAAAAGGTTTGTTATAAAGCATGAAGAATCAGATAAAAATGGACATTCATGGTTAAATGTTCCTATTTAAATTTTTTTCATTTGAAGATGAAAGTATATATAGAAAAAGTTTTAAAGTATTATTTTAAAGTTAGTTGCTTTTTATAATTTTTATGCGTAAATACTTTTTTTTGATAAACTCTTGACATCATGCTCGCTTTTACATAGAGTGAAACAGCCGTGCACATTCTTGACATTTTTGAAAATTTTGTTTATCTACGTTTCTTAGAAATAAATTTCTCCCACACATCCACATACATGTAGCATATTTTATTGAATGCACACAATTGTTTTATTTTATTTTATTATGATTATTATTATCACAAATGTTTTATTAAATTGCCAATGTAATACATACACAATATGTTTTAATAAAATGTTTTGCAATATATTACTTGTGTATGCAATGTGTGTGTTAATTTATTTGCTTAAGCAATATGCTTGTGTTATCTTGTATAAGCAATTTATGTATGAAGATATTTGTGTAAGCAATTTATGTATGAACATGTTAGTGTAAGCAATTTATGTATAAGCATATTTGTGTAAATTTATGTATGAATATATTTGTGTAAATGTTACTTAGGATTTAAGAGGCAAATAAGATAAAAAAGATTAAAGTAAATATATAAAGTTATAAATTTACTATTAAAAATTACTAATTTTATTTTAGGTTTAACTAGATTGTTAAAACATGTTGTTGTTTTTTTTGCTTGTTTGTTTTTTTAACATCTTTGCTTCCAACAAGGCTGAAAGCAACCACTATTAGAGTTGGAAGTTACTGGAAGAGAAAAGATGAAGATTGTAGAGCAAGATAATGATTGACAGACGACTTAAAAGATTGCAATTTATATGAATCAGGAAAGCAAAATGAAAGAAGCGAATTCCAAAGAACTGATGTTTGAGGAAAAAAACTAGACGAATAAAAGTTTTTGGAGCATTTAGGAAAAGTCACAGAAAACGGATGAAACTAAATTGAATAACATGTAACACGAGAATGAATTTTAGTAGATGGCAGACACTAAAAGAGGCGCTAGCTCTTCAGAGCAGTGTCTATTACAGTATTTGAAAAAAAGAGAAAGAGAAGCAACATTACGGCGATGTGATAATGGTTGGAGGTTGGCTGCAAGAGCAGGTCCAACTTTATTTACAATGCATTTTTGCACCTTATCTAAAAGGGAAAGGGCATCATTAGAAGATCCGCTCCAAATATGGCAACCTTAGCAGATGCTAATTTTGCAATGGGTTTGATATATGGTTTCCAAGAAAAATCGAAAGTAAGAGTTAATCTTAGAAGATGAAGGGTAAACGACTCATTGAGTGCATCACCGTTCATAAATATAGGAAGATCTAATTTATTGCAATAATGATTGGCTGAAAAAAAACTAAGTTTTATCTAAAATAAAGTTCACTAGCCACACATGCTGTATAATAATAATACAATGTATATTATTATTATAATGTAATATACATTATATTATTATTTATACGTTATATTATTATATTATAAAAGATAATGTACATGCTGTAGCAGAAGTGAGATCCTTTTCAAGCTCAAATGCCCCCTCCAAGCAATCAGAGAATGTTGGCTTCTTATCATGACAAGAATAATTGGTAGTATCATCAGCGAACAATGCCATCTTAGATGTGAGAATAACTGGAAGATCGTTAATGTAAATTAAAAAGGGCTAAGGATTGAACCTTAATGAACCCCTGAAGTTACGGAATATAAAGAATAGTGCTGTTCATCGAGGATAAATTTTATACTACAATTGGAAAGGAAGGATTCAATAATCTTAAAGATGTTACCAGATACACTGTAAGAAGAAAGCTTATGGAAATGACCAGCATGCCAAACTTTATCAAAAACTTTAGAAATGTCAATAGCGATGGCATTAACCTCTCCACCTTTATCTAATGCAAGATAAAACCTATCGGTTATTACTGTTAGCAAATCAGCTGTAAAATTAGAAGATCGAAATCCATATTGATGATCAGAAAGTAAGTTATTAGATTCATAATGAGAGATTATGTGTTTGTTAATTAAAGATTCAAAATCTTGCTTATAATAGGAAGAAGACTAATGGGACAGTAGTTGAAAAATCAGATCGCTCTCCAGAATTTTTGAAAATAGGGATGCCGCAAAACAGATGCCGCTTTCCAGCAGGCTGGAAAACAAGACTTTGATAAGCATTTGTTAAATAGTTTTGAAAGTATAGATGACAGCTCCGGAGAAAACTTCTGGAAGACTATAACAGGTATGTTGTCCGCACCACAAGCTGTAGCTGTAGTGCGGTGCACCACAAGCTGTAGCTGAAATCACTTTAGATACAGAAACTGGAGTGATACAAATATCAAGCTATGGATCAACCTGTTTGATGGCTATATCAGGTAGAATGCAACTAGTGAAATCAAGAAATGATATTGATGCAAAGTTCTTAGCAAACAATTCAGCTTTGTCTTTAGGTGAGGTGGAAAAGTCTGAACCATACAAGAGAGGTAGGATAACAGATTTGCTCTTATTATTGATACTATCGAATATTGTCCAGCCTAATTTTTGTAATGAAATAAGAGGTTTCATGACCTTAGAATAGCAGGTTTTGGCATTAGACAAAACCTTTTTGCAATGGTTACTAGCAGTAATAAAGAGCTGTCTGTTTTCTGGAGAATTGTCACAGCACAATGTGAGGAAAACTATGGAGAAGAGTGAGGCTTGACCTAGAATTGTTGAGAGCGAATAAAAGGTTTCATGCCAGCCTGAATCCACAAAGTTATGTAAGAAGTACATTTGTCATCAGGAAGTTGAAAAATTTCTACCCAAGAGCCATCACAAATATTAGTGAATTATAGGTTTAGAGAACTTGGTGATCACGATGGTTTTTTGTGTTTTATAGTTTTTGGTACTTAATTTATTTTAATTCAAGCATAGACTCGGTAAACTGTTTAATAGCCTAAGGAGCTTTCTTATTACTATGAAGAAACCCTAAGCCTTAACAAAGGGTTACAAATGTGGCCTTGACAATGCACACCAAATGTACCAACAGGGACACCATCCTTGCGCAACATGGGACTGTTAATACTTTGATATTTTTCAACTGTTGATGGAATCAGCCTCTCTGAGAACTACCTCAGAGTTCGGAAACCTGACTACCAGCTGGCCGTAGAACCATAAAACTGAGTTTGAGAGCTGTACCCTCATTAGGAGATAATAGAATGGGTTGCCTGGTCATAAAAACAGAGACACAAGTAAAACCCATGTATTGAGTCAAAAAGATCCAGCATTCAACATCTTAAACTGGAAACAATGTATTAAAAATACATCTGCGCCAGCCTAATAAATAATGAAGAGGTGCGTGGCTGGTCAACAGATAGAATCTGTTTACCCCTTAAGTCTTTGCCTAGGAGGCCTTTTACAAGACAGTAGGCGGATGCATTTAACATCTGCCCAAGATGAGTATTTTTATCGAGACACCATTTCTAGCCTTTACTCAACCAAGAATCCTATGGCAGGGAGTGTTTTAAGTTGGAGATGGCTTTCCGAGCTTTTGCGTAAAAAAGCTTATCCTACAAGGCAACTGGTCATGAAGCAAATTGTCCTGGGTTACATGTTACCAATAGCAGCATAACCTGACCTGACAAAAATAAATACAAACTAATACAACGTATTTAACTAAAACAGTGTAATTAAATAAAACAACGTAAATACAAACATACCCATTGTCTTTGAAGCTAAGTAAAAGATTATTTCCACAAAATCAATACTTTCAAACCTTCCGACTTTGTCGGAAAGTTTGAAAGTATTGATTTTTTTGAGACATGTCTCAACGGTGTTGAGGGTGTTGAGACATGTCTTTACTTGTTGGATAAGCAAGTCTTATTAGTGCAAACTATGGAGTTTAACAACTTTTAAAAGATCTACCAAATCAAAAAGAGTTCAATGATAAAGTAGATATTTTGACAACTGAAAGGCACATTCGTATCATGAAAGCATTAAAGTCTACATTTTTATTGCATATGATTTTAAAAGCTTCACAGTTACATTAGAAATAAAACAGCCAATGGTTACAGTCCTGTTCCTAAAGATAAAAAAAACTTCTAAAGGGTTTGCTTCCAAGGTTATTAATGATGTTATTCTGCAACCATTCAAACAAAGCATATATCAAAGTTGAAAACCCTTGACTTGAATGGTGCAGAGATTCTAAATGTTACGTGCATTTCGGAAATACAGATTCAAAAAAGAAGATTTTCCATCAACAGCAGATTACTCAAAGTTATTTTACAAAAATTCATTGTTTTTAATTAAGCAAAGTGCAATTAAAGATAATTGAAGTTTGAAGATGTTGAAGATTCCATAAAACAGCCATTCAAAATAGATTCTGTCGAAAAACCATTGGAAGGGGGAAGCAAACTATTAAAAGTTAGTGTGACATAAATGTCAATATTTGTATTTATAAATAGCCAAAAAAAATTTAAATTAGGACATAAACTTGAAAGAAAATTAAGTGCAGAGTTAGATATATAAAATAGAAAGAAAAGAAAGCTAATGTTAAAATAATGAAAAAATGTTTAAAATTAAAAAAAAGTTAAAAACGATGCAATTATGTTTTATATCTAATTTCATTTTTGTTCACATGAGTTTTTAAAATTTGAGTCATTCACAAAGCATTATATTTGTTTCTTTATTTTTTTAATTTTCATATTTGTATTTTTTTTAATATATTTTTTGATACGTTTGGTTTCTATACATGGTATATTTACATTTATTATTGTTTATAAAACATTTTTATGTTTTCATTTAAGATTTATAGAAATATTTTTTAAATATTGTTATAAAATAACCTGTTTTTTAAAAAAAATCCTGTATTTTAGGCTTTCATAGTCCTGTTTTTTTATTAAAAATTTCCTGTTTTTAACCAATAAGTAATAACCCTGATGTTATAATTTTGATGTTCCAACAGGTTTACTTATCAACTTATTAACAAAATAATTTTCAAGTTATTAAAATTTTGTTTTTCTCTGTAATCTTTAAATCTTAATACGTAATTACTCAACAACTTTTTTTTAGAAGGTCTTAATCGACATTTGGAAAAACAAACTGCCAAACGGCTGAAACGTCAAGAAACTTCCGCGTCTCGTACATGTATATATTAGCATTTACATTAGAAAAATGTAATAACTATTTTATCTATCAGAAGGATACATTTCAGAAGCTGTATACATTTCGGCCAGCATAAAACCTTTAACCCGCCATAAAATGCCTAATCTTGTTCTAAATCTAATCTTTGGTATTTATTAAGATGATCAAGAATTATAAGATATCTCAAATTCTCGACCAGTTAAAGAACTACAAAATAACGGGCAAATAGAAATTAATATTATATTTTGAATTTTAAGGGAATGAAAAATTTCGTTTATTGGTTTTCTGTGACTTATCGTAGTACTGGTTAACAGAGATTTTATATTAATATGTTTGTTTTTGCAGCAGAAAAGAATCTTTCAAGTTCCACAGAGATTTTGTATCAAGGGCGCTTTAATGGTGTTTAATGTTTACATCTTGTATCAAGGGCGCTTTAATGGTGTTAAATGTTTACATCTTTGATGTATTTGAAAAAATTTAAAAGATTTGTTAATAAAATTTTTATTTTCTCTGAGTTTTTTATATTATCTGCCAAGTTACCATGCTAAGAAGTAATTAAAAACTTTTTTATTAAAATTTTTCTCTGAGTTTTTTATATTTAGTTCCAAGTTCACAGCAGTGGGTACTCAGATTAAGACGTTTGGGCATTAGGTTGGCGTTGGGTAATGCACTTACAATGCATTTAGATATGATTTGACTAAGTTATTATAATTATACTAGCTGGGGGGACCCGTAAAATACGGGTCTTTACCGAACCGACCATTTTTATACTTATCTATAGCTATCCGGACGTAAACTAAGATACTTAGTAAATCTATTCCACACCGACCTTTTCTATACTTATTCCTTACCTCAATATTTTTTTAAAACCGTTTAAAAATGTACATATAAAAAACTATACTTACTTTTTGATATGACAAAAACATTTCTGTTAAAATGTTCTTTTAAAAACTTCAAACGATTTTAATATTATGCCGATTATAAAAATTTTAATAAGAAAAAACGTAAAAAAGACTACGAACTTAGAAAAATGCTAAAACATTCAACACGTGACGCCGTTAAAGTACGCCTTAGTTAACGTTCATAACATATACACATCTAATTAGATTTTATTTAAATTCAGTTGTTGCAAACTTGGTTTTGAATTTTTAATTACACTTCTTATGCGTCATAAATAATCTTAAATTCTAAATAGAAAATACGTTTATGGGCTAATTGGTAGACGCGCAACACTTAGACAGATATAGTCATCTCACCCCGGGAGTTCATACTCCAGTGACCTTTTTTTTTCATCCCAACTTACAACAAAAGTAATTAAAAATAAATGTTATTATTGAAACAGTTTTAAACATTTCTTCCTATTTATCTTTGAACTTAACTTTATTCACTGCAAACATACTTTTGGTGTTTGTAAACGTTATTTTACGTTTAGTATTTGTAGGAAAGTTTCATTTTAAATACCCGACAAACTAAATCAGGTCTGTCATTAGCAGTTTGGCCTGGGTTTAAATTTTCTACTATTTCTCTCCATTTTAAATTGCAGGTAAAAGTAATGAATAGATCTGGTTTACCATATTTCTTTATGACTGCCATCGTTTTCTTTTAATGCTCTTGGACTACCAACATATGAAGAAGGCAATATAACAACACGGCCTGGTCTTACATTAAGATCATTAGCACGATTAATTACATGTTCATGCAATACATCATATTGCTCACTTCTAAATTTGTTTTGGTTATTTCTAATAAAAGCAAGGCGCTGTCCCTCAACTTTGACATATGCATCAACAACATATTGCTGAAAAAGTTTCTTACCATAGAATATAGGACTAAAAGTTTGTCTAACAGCAAGCCTATAATTATAATACTGAGACAAAGTAACATGGTTTCTAACACGCGTTGCACGGTCAGGGTTGTGCTCTAGTTGATTGTGCCATCCAGCATCACCTCTCAGGAAGAATATTGGATATACCAAAGGATCCAAATTTGCAGACATAGACGAAATTGTTCTTAATGGCTGACCTCGAGGGTATATAACAATTTCCCTGGATGCAGGTGGAGCACCATCATCTCCCACAAACACAATAGCAACTTCCTCATGGGAAGGAAGATTGTATCGACGTCTATCATGACCTTCAAGCAAAGACATTCTTACATCAGAGGTTGGTCTACCTTCTAAAGCTGCTTGGCGGATTTCTTCATCCTCTACTTCTGCCATGTTTTTAAATGCAAGAGCAAATAGGTTTTCTTGATTAATTAATGTTTGCAAGAGTTGCATTAACTCATGTATACAACCATCATTACCAGGTTGTTCCATTCTGAATGACACTGCTGCATTAGGATCATAGATATACAGCTGACAATATTTGGGCAGACAACCTTCTGCAGGCCTTAAAATTCCAACACGATGCAAAATTTGCCCACAAACCCTAAAACAGAAAGGGCCATTATTTGAGGGAGGAGCTATTTCGGCAGTGAAGGAAGCAAAAGATAAGGAGGAATTATAACTCCTTATGTGTTTAAAAAAATTTTGATTTACAGCATGATCAACATGGTTTCCTGTCATTAAACCAGTCAACAATGGCGGATAAAGAGAAAGAGGAGCTAATACAACTTTTCCTGAATGGCAGCACAAAAAATGAGTTTCATTTAAAAACTTCTTTGCACTGCAATACTGACAATTATGGTTTAATTCTCCGAGGTAGTTACTCTCTATAGCAATATTATTTCTTGCTATGCGATGCATATTATACCTATTAAGTTCTCGCCTAGCCTGATTTCTTTCATTTTGATTACAATTTATTTCAACTCGCCGGGGCTCATCTCTTTCAATTCGACGACGATTTATCTCAGCTCGTCGGGGCTCATCTCTTTCAATTCGACGACGATTTATCTCAGCTCGCCGAGGCTCATCTCTTTCAATTTGACGACGATTTATCTCAGCTCGCCGGGGCTCATCTCTTTCAATTCGACGACGATTTATCTCAGCTCGCCGGGGCTCATCTCTTTTAATTCGACGACGATTTATCTCAGCTCGCCTGGGCTCATCTCTTTCAATTCGACGACGATTTATCTCAGCTCGCCTGGGCTCATCTCTTTCATTTCGACGGCGGTTTATCTCAGCTCGCCTAGCCTGCCTTCTTTCATTTTGACGAAGTCTAATAATTTCATTTCTTAAATTATTAGACATAATTAGGCATCAAAGGAGTGTGTAAAAATGATGCCTAATATAATAAAAGTTGAAGTTTCTTTTTTAAACTTATCTAAAATAAAGTGTAAGCAAATAATACAGAGCATAATACTATAATCTATTATATTCTACCATATATAGCATTGTGTTAAGATAACATAGTTTTATTAAAAACTAAAGTTATAAATTACTATAATATTTTCAACTAAGTATTGTTTATATATTTATGGTAGTTGTTATTAATTATTGACAAAATATTATAAGTATTTAATCAAAAAAAAAAAAAAAACACAAATGTAATTTAAAAAACAAATTTTTTACATATAAGAACTCATAAATAAAGCAAATTAAAAAAATTTAAGGCCTGTCAACTCAGCAAGTACTGCTAGCATGGAAGGATAAAATGTAATCATCCATCAACAAAACCCTTTCATTACTTTGAAAGGCATTTAACGCAAGATTTGCAATAAATAAATACAAAACTACTAAAAGAACCTCTATAAACAATCATATATTTGCTTCAAGTGAAGAAACTTGGAAATATTGAAACTTCTTTTACTATTTTAATTTTTTTTTTAGATATTTAATATTCTAAAGAAAAAGGGACAATAATTTAAGGCAAAAAAATTAAAATGTCTATACATATAATATATGTATAGACATTTTAATTCTATATATTTTATTGTGTGTGTGTGTGTCTATATATATACATATATATATATATATATATATATATATATATATATATATATATATATATATATATATATATATATATATATATATATATATATATATATATATATATATATATATATATATATTGATGTACATACAAAACATTAAAATAATAATATAAAGAAAACATTCTCTATACAAAAAATCCTAAAAATTTAACAAAAGTTATTAAAACTTATGCTTCAACACGCTGTATACTTACTTTTATATATAAAAAAAAAATTTGAGTTAAACATATTTTATGAAGAAAATCGAAACTCTTAAAAATTTTAATGAGGAGGAGCTGTTAGTAAAGCCTGCTTTTTAACAAAATTTATTTTTTGTCAAAAGCATACATTGTTAAGAACAGAGGATAACAACATTAAAACACATTTTTTCAACAATATTTTTTCAACACATTTTAGAAATACACTAATTACAAACAGAATTAATTTATGTGTTTTATTATGACAATACACCACTCTGCTGGCGAGGACAACATTTTTGCTCTCAACAAAGCCAGGTCACATTATAGCAAAGTACACCACTTGGCTAGCAAGGTCAACAATCTTGCTGTAAACTAAGCCCAGTCACAACAATTTGAAACCATGCAAACAACATAATTATCACTTACAAACTATAAACATATTACATATAACACACCACAAACATTTCATATATTTACACACTTACAAAATATAAACCCATATAACCTTAACACATATATACACAATAAAACACAATATAAATAACACACATATATAGATAAATATATAAATTAAGAAAAATATATAAATTTGAAACTTTACAAATACAACCTTATTTTTGTTTTTTGAAATACCTCGTAATAAATGTTTAACAACTTTCAAAAACAAACTATCAAACAATCTGGTTTTTTATACGGATTTTTATAACTTCTTTTAAATAAGGTATTAAACGATCTTGAAGTTGACGAACATTGAGTTGACCGTGTGAGATGCAAGTGTTTTAAACACTAACTTTATCAAGAGTTTGACCTCTTGACCTTTGAAATGAGCAACGTCTTCTTGAGTCGTCTTTTAATTTAAAAATTACAGATTAATTTTATAAATTAATAAATTTAAATACAATTGACAAAAGACTAAAATGCATGATTTAAATAAATCACCTGACTTTAAAAGTTACTTTACTAATTCAATAATAACATAATGTTCATCCTTTACTACAGAAGTTATCAAATAAAAATTGTTGATCTTATCACTAATTAAGCTGATGAAACAAAGTTTTTGATCTCATTACTAATTAAGCAGATACTGACAGATTATTAAGATTTGAAAGAGCCTCATTACGCGAGTTCAGAAGTAAAGCAATTTATAATAAAACTCAAAGGCCAAGTATGGTAAAAAAGTCCGTGTAAAAGTGCACGAATGGTGAGCAGCAGCAGCAGCGGCAGCGTTAAGTTAAGTATTAATTATAAGCGATGACAATATTGACGTCATATAGGTCGTCCATAAACGTAAGCCCAAAAATTTAAGAGACAGTATATAAAAAGGTTTTTATTATATTTTCCTTGCATGTAGTGATAAGTTAAGACAGTTGTAACTTCGCAATCTGCAAGTGTTATATGA